GTGTTGCCCAGCGACAGCCTCAAAACATTACTGCTCTAGAGGAGATCTGGATGGAGGAATGGGCCAAAATACCAGCAACTGTGTGTGAAAACCTTGTGAAGACTTACAGCAAACGTTTGACCTCTGTCATTGCCAACAAAGTGTATATAACAAAGTATTGAGATGAAATTTTGTTATTGACCAAATACTTATTTTCCACCATAATTTGCAAATAAATTCTTTAAAAATCCTACAATGTGATTTTCTGGATTTTTTTTTCTCATTTTGTCTCTCATAGTTGAGGTATACCTATGATGAAAATTACAGGCCTCTCTCATCTTTTTAAGTGGGAGAACTTGCACAATTGGTGGCTGACTAAATACTTTTTTTCCCCACTTGTATATATATATATGTATTTCAACAACCCACATGGTTTCCCCGCAGAACTGGGCTACTTTTAAACTGTTGCTGCAGGTTGCATATTTTTTCCCTATATTTGACTGACATGCTTGTATTGAAAATTTTTATATTGCACCAATGATTAAACTATGCTAGATGATTATTTTAGTGAGAGAAGGGCCCTGGTAGTGAGCCTCCTATGAGTTCCTTTATGAAAACAGATGATTACTACTATATTGTGATTTTCAAGTTGGAGTAAACATAAAAATAACATAAAAATGACTGTAAAACATGTATTTTAGTTATGGAAGTGGCATGAGTTTTGATATTTGAGTTATGGTCACTGGGCTAGTTTTGGGCCTTTTATTTGAAAGTATCTGAGACTTTCAGTGGCCTAGGTCAACTGTGAATATAATGGAATCAGTTGCTGATAATTTTATCTTTAGTATGATCTGACATGACTGCCATATTGGCCAACATGAAACGAAATTTACTGAGTGCACCTTTAAAAAATTTATGGAAATCATTGGAGCTGTTTATTGCATGCATTGTTCAGACCATATTGAGCCTTGGTGCTCATGCAAGATATACAGGTTCTGATTCTGTAACATCTGTTGATTCCATTTCCATTCTTTCTCTACTCGGTCAATGAAAGATTTTTTGTTGTTGATTGTTTTGTCACTTTTCATTTCTTTTCTTTTTTGTTTTGTTTTTTAATAACCATGACCAGACCTTGTCCATGCCCACATGCTGTTTATTAAATGAGTTAATAGAGTTTTATTTAGAGCCTAAATCACTAAAATGAATCTAAATCAGATATCGGCACAAACATGGATCAAAACCACTATTATCCAACCACCTGAATCATTTCTTTTAAATGTGAAAAGTGTGTTGGACTGCACAGTACATCTGAATATACGCCCAGTTATAAAACTCTTTTCATCATTCGATTTATGGATGAATCACTGTTGTTATGATCAATACAATTTTACACAAACATCTCTGTTTAAACTTGTTTCCATAGATCATAATAGTGCAACATTAATTGCACCATACTTTTTAATTTCAGCCCAGAAGATTAGGGACATCCATAAATGAATCATCCATTTGTTCATAAATACATAGATTGTCATTATATAATATCTATTCATATAAATTAAATTAGTAAAAAGTATTTATAAATATACACGCTTTGATTGATTTTCTATGTCCCTTGCTAGGAATGTCTTGTATTGAAAAATTGTATATTGCACCAATGATTAAACTATGCTAGATGATTATTTTAGTGCGAGAAGGGCCCTGGTAGTGAGCCTCCAATGAGTTCCTTTATGAAAACAGATGATTACTACTATATTGTGATTTTCAAGTTGGAGTAAACATAAAAATAACATAAAAATGACTGTAAAACATGTATTTTAGTTATGGAAGTGGCATGAGTTTTGAGTTATGGTCACTGGGCTAGTTTTGGGCCTTTTATTTGAAAGTATCTGAGACTTTCAGTGGCCTAGGTCAACTGTGAATATAATGGAATCAGTTGCTGATAATTTTATCTTTAGTATGATCTGACATGACTGCCATATTGGCCAACATGAAACGAAATTTACTGAGTGCACCTTTAAAAAGTGTATAGAAATCATTGGAGCTGTTTTTTGCATGCATTGTTCAGACCATATTGAGCCTGCAATTGGTGCTCATGCAATATATACAGGTTCTGATTCTGTAACATCTGTTGATTCCATTTCCATTCTTTCTCTACTCGGTCAATGAAAGATTTTTTGTTGTTGATTGTTTTGTCACTTTTCATTTCTTTTCTTTTTTGTTTTGTTTTTTAATGACCATGACCAGACCTTGTCCATGCCCACATGCTGGTTATTAAATGAGTTAATAGAGTTTTATTTAGAGCCTAAATCACTAAAATGATCTAAATCGGCACAAACATGGATCAAAACCACTATAATCCAACCACCTGAATCATTTATTTTAAATGTGAAAAGTGTGTTGGACTGCACAGTACATCTGAATATACGCCCAGTTATAAAACTCTTTTCATCATTCGATTTATGGATGAATCACTGTTGTTATGATCAATACAATTTTACACAAACATCTCTGTTTAAACTTGTTTCCATAGATCATAATAGTGCAACATTAATTGCACCATACTTTTTAATTTCAGCCCAGAAGATTAGGGACATCCATAAATGAATCATCCATTTGTTCATAAATACATAGATTGTCATTATATAATATCTATTCATATAAATTAAATTAGTAAAAAGTATTTATAAATATACACGCTTTGATTGATTTTCTATGTCCCTTGCTAGGAATGTATCTGTGTTCAATCTTCAAACTGTGACTGTACAGTACTGTATTTTTCCACAGGGACAGTAGTTATTTTCTGTTGTATCGTTTATAACAGAAGCTGTATGTGAGTGACTCTGAATGATGCGAGGACAGTCTGTCACTGCTTCATGAAACACCACATGCACACATACACAGTTTGCTCTGGCCCACACAGTGTGACTATTGACGATTTAATGGAGTTGTCAAGCAGCCAATGGCGCCTTGTTTTTCTCGATCTCCCTCACAGACGGAGCGTCTTTAATTCTCAAACTGTAGACACTTCTCCATATGTCTATCTCTCACCATGCACACACACACACACACACACACATACTGGACCAGATTAATCACGACAAAATGTCTCTGTACATGCATTTAGTCACATTTAAACTCCCAAAGCAACCAAACATAAGCTGCGGAAATGCACTGTGCCAATACAAAGTCCTTTGATATGCTTTTATATTAAATCAATTTTCTGTAAGAGAGAGATGAATCATAAAGAGACACCGGGGAGGAAGACACAAATTGAAAGACGGAGACACAAGGGCAGAAGTGTGGAGTGTCATAGAGAGCGAGCACATCAAAGGTGCACCATCTTTTCGCCCCTGGCTGCAATTTCTCTGGCCAGTCGCTTGGCTGAGTGCCGTCAGTCGTGTCCCATCACTGAGACAGTCGAGTCTACCTTTCTCCCACTGATCTCAGAGCTGTTTCTTCTGCTACTTTAGACAAAATGTGTCTCAGGGAGGAATACACTAAGCCCCAAAACATACTGAATGTGTGTGAATGCATAGTATGCATGAACAAAAATGCTTCTTGCTTGTGTTCGGAAATGTGTCAGATGCAATTAATAATACAACATATGTTTTTGGAAGTATAGTGTTGCTGTCGAGCATCATGGCAAGCTGTTTTGTTTTGTTTTTAGTTTAGTTTTTTTTTGTTTGTTTTTGTTTTGTTTTTAGTTTACATTTTTTTGTTTTTAGTTATTTTTAGTTGTTGTGTTTTGTTTTGTTAAACCATGACTTTGTGATTAGTGTCAGACAAGGTCAATGCCCATATGCTCCTTTTTTCTTTTGTTTTGTTTTGTTTTGCTTTGCTTTTTGTCATGGTTTAACAAAAAAAAAAACAATTGTTTTGTTTTGTTGTGTGTATGTGTGTTTATTTGTTTGTTAAGCCATGACTTTGTGATTAGTGTCAGACCTTGTCAGTGCCCAAATTTTGTTTTGTTTTGTTTTGTTTTTGTTAAACCATGACTTTGTGATTAGTGTCAGACGTTATCAATGCCCAAATGCTCAAGACTATGCTGTGCCTGTGCTCATGTAAAAGATGCAGCAACATCTTACAATCCTGTTTATTTTTGATTGCATTTAATTTGTAGCATTTCATAGCAATCAACAGCATTTAAATCATTTTCACATCAAAAATCATATCAAAAGCTGGCATCCACAAACAATCAAAAATGAAATGGTGTTGTGCAAACCCATCCTAGCCCTTATGCTAATGTAAAACAGTATTTTACCTGGAAAACAAAAAAGAAGTTGAAGTGTTTGGAGTCATGACTGGGTAAAAGAGGGAATTCGTGGACTGCTTATACTTCAGTGCTAACTCAATATAATTGTAACTAATGGATGTAGCATTAATTAGCATAATTGGCTAATTAACAAGATGTTAATGTTGTATGAAATAGAGAGAAGGTAGAATCAACATTTTAAAAGGATCTCTCTCACACACACGCACACGCTCACATTTGCGTCATCAGTTGCTGTAATCTTATTGGCTCTTCCCTACATGGCAGTCATAGGAGCAGTCACGCCGCAGGACTATGACTCAACATTTCAGATGCTGTCAGAACTTTGTTGGAGGCTAAGATTAATTTCAAAGGCAATTAATTAGCCATTGGTAAGCATGTTACACTAAGCCACCAAAATCTGCCAATTTTGCCAAATCTTTCAAAAGAAATCTTTATTATGACTGCTGAATTTGGTCTCAGATGACACAATTGTGAGGAAAAAAGAACTGTGTACTAAACAGTTTAGTAAAATCGCCGCTCATGTTCGGTTCTCCTCCCTTATACAATGTCACTCACATCTTCCTCGCCATCTCTCTCCTCCTCCTCTCTTTCTTGCTGTGCTAATGAGAAGCTTACAGCTAATTAAAAGTATCGACTGCCATTTTGTTAAGCTAAACTTTTTTTCTCACCCTCGTTTAGAGAGGAGATCTCCAGAGAGTTCCTTTCAGTCTCTCTCGTCTCCTCAGCATGATGATTTACAGTAGCAGTTTGCAGCACTCTCATCTCTCTCTCTTCTTCATCTCTTTTCCTTTTCTGCTCCATTTCTCTCCTCTCCAGCCACAATACGAAGACGACGTCCTGGTTGGACCCCCGGCTTGCGAAGAAAGCGAAGCCCCCTGAAGAATGCAAAGAGAATGGTTAGTGCGGTTATCTTTCATTTCTCTCTATATGTTTTGAGTCTGTTTGTTTGACTCTCCAAATGGTGGAGTTTGGATGGCCAAAGAGAAATCTTTAAATCTACTGAAATAAAGCAACTAGCCACAAGAGGCTGTGTTTTAGTGATTTTACCACAGTTATGAAGTGTTGTTAGGCAAAATGTGAAGCAGAAATGGCTTATTGGTTTTATAAAACTGCAAAAAAAAAAAAAATCCCTAAAATTCTTTCATTAAGTAATATAGCTCATTAGCCTAACTGCAGGCTGTTTATGGTTGCTTAGAGCATAAAAATCAAAAATCTTTTATATGACATTTATGTAACTTCAGTATACTATAGGCTATCAATATGTTTCTTTCGAGTCAAACCTTTCTTTTATTATTGCTAAGTAAAATCATGCAGCCTTTGCTATTGTTTTTTTCGAAGCAATTGGACAATTTTGTTTGGCAGACAGTGTCAAATAATCTCATAGACATGGAAGAAAGGTCCAGAGCTGTATCTAGAGACAAGAATATTCTAGAGCAGGGGTAGCCAGCACTGTTCCTGTAGGGCTACCATACTGCTGCGTTTAACTCCAACCCTAATCAAATACCAATACAACTAAACCAGTTAATCAAGTTGTTCAGGATTACATGAAATCACAGCAAGGTGTGTTGGACAGGGTTAAACCTCAAGTCTACAGGAAGATAGCCCTCAAGGAGCAGGGTTAGCGACCCTATTGTAGAAATTTGGGTTTAAACTCCTTGATGTGGACTGGTGAACAAGCACCTAAGCCAATCAGAACAGTGCTTGCCAAACTGGTCCTGTAGCCCCTCAAGAGAGCACACTTTGAATGTCTCCATCATCTAACACACTGGATTCAACACTTCAGCTCATAAGTAGAGACTACAAGAGCTAAATTGAGTGTGTCCGATAACACATCCGACACATCCGAAATATGCAGTGGTGTACACTACTATTACCTTAGCAGCACAAAACACCATAGAAACCCCAACCACAACACCCTAGGCTACGTCTACATTAATCTGGATACATTTGAAAAGAGGGTTTTAATTTCAAAACACTCTCCGTCCACACTTGCATTTTCCAAAAGTTTCTCATCCACACTGAAACGTCGGGAAAACGTTAAATTCACCTTACCGTGCATGTGTAAAACATCATAAAAAGCTCACTGAGATGATACAGACAGAATAGACATAAGTTTTCACGTAATTCTTCTGGCAGGATAATTTTATTTATGAAAATATCCCACCATTCACTGGCGTACAGCACACACTCACTCACTATTATATGTTTAATCTAATATGTTTTGCCACAGGATAGTAATTATGAGTAAATTTTCTGTCATCTTTGCAGGACTGTAATACGAAGAGTGTACAAAGTAACATATCTTTAGCAACAATTAGTGCATTTACATGCACCCTCTTAATGCGATTATAATGAGATTTTGGAAATATTGCAATTAAACTTTACCTCATGTAAACGCAATACTTCAATCTAAATAATGCGATTAAGCTCATAATCGCAGCAAGCATAATCATATTAAGCATAATCGGCGTATGCCGATTTTAATCTAAATATACAGGCATGTAAACATCATAATGCGATTACGTCCTTACTCTGATTATTGGAAATAATCGCATTATTCGTGCGCATGTAAACGTAGTCTTGTGAAAGTAGCACATAACAGGCACAATAGCGGTATAAACATAGATATCTACACTCTTAAAAGTAAAGGTGCTTCACGATGCCATAGAAGAACCTTTTTGTCTAAATGGTTCCATAAAGAACCTTTAACATCTGAAGAACCTTTCTGTTTCACAAAAGGTTCTTTGTGGTGAAAAAAGGTTCTTCAGATTATAAAAAGGTAAGAAAGAGATGGTTCTTTTAAGAACCTTTGACTGAATGGTTCTTTGTGGAACCAAAAATGGTTCTTCTATGGCATCGCTGTGAAGAACCTTTTGAAGCACCTTTTTTTTTAAGAGTGTATTGGTACAATATACGTCACATGACTAAACATGCATCATCGTTTTCGAAATATTCTATTTTCACAGTCCACATTACAATGCGAAAACGGCATTTTTAAATTTATCCACTTTGGAGAGCGTTTTCAAAAAGCTCAGTTTTCTTTCACAAAAAGGCCATCTAAGTGTGGATGAAAACATTTTCAAATGAAAACATGTTAGTGTGGACAAGGCCTCATAATGTCCTACCAACCCCCAAACAGCCTAGCAGCAGTATAACAACACCCTGGCAACCATCTACCAGTGCCATATCAACCTCTCATAAATGCTACAAACCCAATTCCAAAAATGTTGGGACACTGTACAAATTGAGAGTAAAAAAGGAATGGAATAATTTACAAATTTCATAAACTTATATTCTATTGTGAATAAAATATAAGTTTATGAAATTTGTAAATTATTCCATTCCTTTTTTACTCTCAATTTGTACAGTGTCCCAACTTTTTTGAGATGTGTTGATGCCATGAAATTTAAAATCAACTTATTTTTCCCTTAAAATGATACATTTTCTCAGTTTAAACATTTGACATGTCATCTATGTTGTATTCTGAATAAAATATTGAAATTTGAAACTTCCACATCATTGCGTTCTGTTTTTATTCACAATTTGTACAGTGTCCCAACTTTTTTGAGATGTGTTGATGCCATGAAATTTAAAATCAACTTATTTTTCCCTTAAAATGATACATTTTCTCAGTTTAAACATTTGACATGTCATCTATGTTGTATTCTGAATAAAATATTGAAATTTGAAACTTCCACATCATTGCGTTCTGTTTTTATTCACAATTTGTACAGTGTCCCAACTTTTTTGAGATGTGTTGATGCCATGAAATTTAAAATCAACTTATTTTTCCCTTAAAATGATACATTTTCTCAGTTTAAACATTTGACATGTCATCTATGTTGTATTCTGAATAAAATATTGAAATTTGAAACTTCCACATCATTGCGTTCTGTTTTTATTCACAATTTGTACAGTGTCCCAACTTTTTTGAGATGTGTTGATGCCATGAAATTTAAAATCAACTTATTTTTCCCTTAAAATGATACATTTTCTCAGTTTAAACATTTGACATGTCATCTATGTTGTATTCTGAATAAAATATTGAAATTTGAAACTTCCACATCATTGCGTTCTGTTTTTATTCACAATTTGTACAGTGTCCCAACTTTTTTGAGATGTGTTGATGCCATGAAATTTAAAATCAACTTATTTTTCCCTTAAAATGATACATTTTCTCAGTTTAAACATTTGACATGTCATCTATGTTGTATTCTGAATAAAATATTGAAATTTGAAACTTCCACATCATTGCGTTCTGTTTTTATTCACAATTTGTACAGTGTCCCAACTTTTTTGAGATGTGTTGATGCCATGAAATTTAAAATCAACTTATTTTTCCCTTAAAATGATACATTTTCTCAGTTTAAACATTTGACATGTCATCTATGTTGTATTCTGAATAAAATATTGAAATTTGAAACTTCCACATCATTGCGTTCTGTTTTTATTCACAATTTGTACAGTGTCCCAACTTTTTTGAGATGTGTTGATGCCATGAAATTTAAAATCAACTTATTTTTCCCTTAAAATGATACATTTTCTCAGTTTAAACATTTGACATGTCATCTATGTTGTATTCTGAATAAAATATTGAAATTTGAAACTTCCACATCATTGCGTTCTGTTTTTATTCACAATTTGTACAGTGTCCCAACTTTTTTGAGATGTGTTGATGCCATGAAATTTAAAATCAACTTATTTTTCCCTTAAAATGATACATTTTCTCAGTTTAAACATTTGACATGTCATCTATGTTGTATTCTGAATAAAATATTGAAATTTGAAACTTCCACATCATTGCGTTCTGTTTTTATTCACAATTTGTACAGTGTCCCAACTTTTTTGGAATCGGGTTTGTTAAAGAAACACTCAGAACACCTTAAGAACCACATTGCAATGCCTTAGCAATGTCCCACAACACTTTTGCATTGTAGTGGCAAGTTTTGCACAGAACAGCCAAGAAGACCTTAGCAACTGTCTCACAATGTCCTACCAACCACCCAATACACCCTAGCAGCCACTTTAAAAGTGCTTTATAAAACACTGAGTGGTGGTGAATTTTGCACTGGCAAACACCTCTCACATATTCTACAGCAAGTGTAACAATACAATTTTTCCTCTGGTTACTCTACACTCTACTTCTAGCACTCATAACTGTGTTTGTGAAATGATCTTGAGCTGAAGCATCTCGAAGTGAATACATTGTTAAATTAATCATGTCTGCAAGTGTATTCTCTGCTGTTTTACCTGCTTGTAAAATGATTTCTTCATCACCACCTTCTTCCCAGTTCACACGTTCGTGCACTAAAATCTAACTCCATGTTTGCGGTATAATCAACTGTGCCAGTGCATCAGGGGCTGCTTGTTAGCATGCATGTGCGAGACGTTGCATTTCACATGTCAGCGGATTCCCGCGGTTCAAAGGCCTGTCAGCCAGCGTTGTGAAAACACTCATCACTGCGGATTTGCGCGGACGCGTGCGTTGCGTAACTCGGCCGCCCTCTTTTGTTTCAAAACTGAAGGGAAGACACAGCTCTGGATGCAAATCAAAGTCGTCTGCTGTTTTCTTTAATACTGTCAAACTCATGTTCCTAGACTGTTTGTTTCCCCGTGAATATTTACCGCAGCACGGAGTGAAGTTTCCGTAGATATGCCACAGTCATCTCTCCTGTTTACCTGTCATCTCGCCTCTCTCCCTGTGTCGATGTTTCTCTCTGATGGTACGAATTCCCTGGGTTTGCTAGTGAATGAATAAGCACAACTAACATATCTCTCTGTGTCTGTCGCTCGTGTTTCATTGCATTTCATCATTTCTGAAGCCGTCACTGTCAGGAGGGAGAGAGATTTTCATCCCTGTCACGTTTAAAAGTGTTCGGCAGACAGTTACACTCAAACCATCTCAGTAATAAATGATATTTTATTTTTATTTATTTATTTTAAATTTTTACTGTTTGTTTGATCAAATAAAAAGTGATATTTATATTTTTTGTTCCTATAAAAATGACTCATCATGGGCACATCATGATTTTGTCCCTCAAAAAAAAAAATTACAATTGGTAAACAGTTACCAATCAGTCACCAAGTAAATTCTATCA